ATGCATGTTATTTACACTGTACAGGATATGGTGACTATGCACTTGCAAAACATTTACATTACTGATACTATGCGACTGATTTAAGTGTTTAATTGGTAAAGACAGGGTGAATCTATTCTAATGTCTGGGTATCTTAGTGTTCAGTGTTCTGTGGTGCCTCCTAGAGGGGGCTTGTTCTTCAGTCTAGAGGTGTATAAATCCTGAATGAAGGAAAGCTTGGCATCTATGAATTTTTCTCCAGTCCTGATGGTGTGTTGATTTCAGTTCCTATCCAGGACAATGGCCAGCCCATACTAGATGATTCTATATTAGCAGATAACAGACTGGATTACTATTTAGGACTGAAGCAGAGGCTGTTGTGGCAGGTTGGACTGCAGAGTGGAGAATTTCATGGATGATGATATTGAATTTCAATTCAATTCAATTTGTATAGCGCCAAATCAGAATATACATTATCTCAAGGGAATTTAAATAGAAGGCCAAGATCTTAAACATTTTAGAGAAACTGAGCTGTTTATATATATATATATACATATATAAACAGCTCAAAGATCTTTACAGGTTCATCCATTTGTTTCATTAAACCTTTTAGAGATAAATCAATCAAATGAGCTGTATTAGTTTTACCTGTGCCCTTTTTCATATAAACATGTCTATTATCAATTTCCATAAATATGTTCATAAAAGTACTTAAGGAAACCTCTGGGTAATTAGCATTGTACAAATTATTCTCATCAACATTGTCCACAAAGGGATCATTAACAAATCTTTAGTTTGAACGACAGAAAGCTACTAAATTGAGTTGTGACTGTAGTTGAGCATAGCTCATGTACATTAGTGTATGAATATATATGAAGCAAATGTTTGTACACCCCATGTATGATGTGTTGTTGCCTTGGTTTACGTAACAGCCACACTGTTTTTGTGTATTTGTGTGGGAATGCCTGAAAGATGAAAGTATGGTACACCAACAACTCAGTCCTATTTCCCCACAATTGATTTACTCCTAACTAGACTAGCTACTTCAGGAACACCTGGGGCACAATAGCTTGAGACATAGCTTGTCAGAGCACCTTCAGGTGAACCAGGGAGTTATTTGGCACAGCTGAGGTTAGTTTGCCAATTACTCTTCATGGATTTAAAGGCAGCAGAGAAAGCTGCCAGAAGCAAGAAACACATGAAGGAGAAAGAGACAGAGGTACAGTAGACACATGGACAAAGCTGAGGTGAGCTGCCAAGACGTCAACAGAAACTGCTTGCCAACAGTCACTCCTCTGTCGGGCTGATTCAAACAATACCTAGGGTAGCTCAAACGGTAGCTCAGGTAGAACAGGAGGACAAAATTGACGCTGATTTTATAGTGTTCGTCTCAGATGGTTTTGTGTACATGCCCAAGGATGGGGCCAGCCAAGTG